CAGCAGGAAAAAAATTGGTAAAAAGGCCACCACCTCAAGCAAACAAATATGGAAATCGTAATCAACGTGCCCCAGAAGCCTCATCGACATCACCTCAAGCACTAATAAACATACCATATACCATGAAAAAATAGACAAAACACTCTCCCAAACCAGCTCCAGAAACATACTATCTCAAGCAACATATCACCAAAAAAACGGAAAGCAACATCCCATTTCAAGCACCAAAATACCAAATCACTAACAGGTAAACCGAGAAGCACAAAGAAAAAAAATAAGGTAAAACACAAAGCATCAAACCACCACCATAGATGACAATCAAGAAAGGAAGGAGAAAAATAGTACATACAGAGAGAGGCGACAAGAGGTGTCATCAGTGAAAACAAACAGGGGTATAAGGGGCTAAAGATCGAGATTTTGCCCTAAAGCCACAACAAGACCAAATAGAGGGAGAAGGGGCTGAATAAGGCTATTTTCTAGGACAATCAGAGTTATTTCCAAAATTATATGACGCTCTAATTTCGCATCGGACCAGAGTTATAACCGTGTAACGATGGCACCTCGCTCGTTCCCTCTTTCGTTGTTCCGCCAATGCTTGACGCCGAAAAGCATGCGGAAAGCCGCCTCCCAAACAACACATGTGTGCTTATTCAAACCAAAAAAGAGGCAAAACACCCTCTCAAACACATCCTAACAGAATATTCATCTGAGTTCTATAGTTAAGAATCTAAGAGGGCGTTGTATTTATGAAATAGGTAGCAATTAATACTGCTTCGTATATGACAAATTTAAGGATGCGCCTATTGTTTATCCTAACATCCCTATTTTGTTGAGGCGACTTAACTTAAGAATTTTGATGTATTTATTCCTTGAATTAATAAATATTCCCTTGGGCCTTGTTCGTGTAATGTTGGCTGGTATGTTTAAAATTTTGACATAGTTCATATGAATGAACTTTAGAAGTTGTATTTTTGATTGATGAAGGAAACGCCTCTCAAGATACATGAATTTAGGTGACTCGGACAATGGTGGCATGACAAGGGTTCACTATTTTTATTATTGGTGAATGTAACTGTGAGCGCTTGGTGCCTTGTATAAATGTTACATAGGATGAGTTTTATTTCTCAATTCACCTCAATATTGCCAATCGCAATCCTGATGCTCACGATCGTTGGGAAGAAATTTAGGAAAATAGTGATAAATGGTAACCTTGGGTAGGTTATTGCTAAGTGAAAGATTGCCATCAAGATTTTGAACTAATAAATTGAGTGGAGGGTTAA